TGCAGTGCAGGTGGGTGTCTAATTCAGGCACCATATCTGCAAGATTTACTGATGCTTCCTTCATTTCATTGAGATGATCGATTCGCAGTGCGGCACCCCCCACAAACGGAATGTGTTATAGTGGAGGGATGTGGTCCCCAAAGTTTGGCGCTGCTAATAAAAATAAGTAAAGACAAAACTCATGACTAGAAATGAAATTTCAGAAATCGAACATTTTGTTTATTTCAGATGAATCCTAAAACACGTCACCGGAAGTTACGTCACATGCACGTCATCACGTCCACGCGTTTCTCAGCGTCACGTGCCATCCAGTGACGCCACTTTTGTTAGAACGAAGACACTTACAAATATTAGCTAAACGATTCGAAACCTCAAACATCTGAAACGAGATCCAAAATTGTCCGTAAAAAAAAATCCGAAAACACAAAATGTTAAAAACCAAAACGTATCTCTGTCAGCATGCCGAGAGTTGCCACCTGTCCGTGTTCGATCTGGACAGTCTGAGAAATTGACATCCTTGTTCCGATGGCAGGTATTGACTTGCACTGCGATGTGGTGTGCAGGTTATTTGTGTGAAACTTTATGTATGTTTTTTTTTATAAATGTACGAATGTACAGCACTTCTTTCCCACCGTATCAGAGGTGCGGGGGAAGGACAACAAACTAAACACAACAAACAGCAAGTGAAATTAGTTTTCAATCGAGATTATAAAAAGTGCATAGCTCCAGTGGCTTCCTAATATCGGAAAGAAGAGGGTTCCAGACGGTCGCAAAAGCGCATCTGAAAGCGCACGGCATAGTTAGCGTCTTTGTTTGATGGCTAGTCACAAGTCGCTGCGATTATGACCGGAGATCGCGTGATGATGGTTTATGGCTCTTTGACAAGATCAACAATGTGTTGTGGTTCATTATGTGGCAAGCACTTTGTGTTTGACGAGTGCGACCCTATAATCTATTCGTTCGGAAAACGGAAGCCAATTGCAGCTCAGGTGAGCACTGGACAGGCACGATCGGATCTTGAAGTACCCGTTCACGACAGGTAACGGATAGATTTGTACATAGTGTACTGCACAATTTTGACAATAGACCGAGTGCTGACTGAAAAAAACGTGTCCAAGTTTTTAATCTGCGGAAAGAGGTGGCAACCCTCCGTGGCCCTATTGGTTGGATTTATTTCCATAGTCGGAGGGGATGGAGAGGAGTTATGTGCATTGCATGGGCCAGCTGAGCAGAGATTAGGGGTTAGGGGAATCGGGGCACGTTAAATGTTCGCTCAACCAGATTAAATGCGCACACTGCTTCCTCCAGAGCAATCGCCGACATGCCAGATTAACGCACATTATATAACAGGCTGTTAAATGGCGTGTAGATTTGCAGCGCGAATCACAATAATATTCGGAATGTAGTGATTTCAAATTGTGATCAGTGCTACATACAGCCCATCATCCATAGGTGGGGGTAGTTAAAATAGATACTGCCCGGTGGGAAGTCAAATGTGGATGTCCTATGAAGATAACAGGCTCCACCATGGGAATGTGGAATTTCCACCACTGGCTTGGAGACACCAATAGAGATGGGCCCTTTTGCACGGAAGGGCTCAGCTCTCGTGATTCGTGCCTCCGTTTGTATGCCGTCTCGTTTGCACACTCTCATTCACTCCATCTGTCCGAACGTAACATTTGCAGACAGCTACTTCGCATGCATTGTAAAATAATACTCTTCGGTTTTTTTCGGTAAAGTCACGTAGGTAAAAATTTATAATAATAATAGAAATAAAATAATAAATCACGACGTTTCGGAGGCAACACAAGTCTCCGTTATCAGGTGGGACCGTCACAGCTAGATTTACTGTATCAAGTGAGGATTTAGCTGTGACGGTCCCACCTGATGACGGAGACTTGTGTTGCCTCCGAAACGTCGTGATTTATTATTTTATTTATATTATTTTTATTATTTCTTTTTACCTACGTGACTTTACCGAAAAACCCGAAGAGTATGAATCCTTGCAGTCACGAAAGCTTCAAATCTTTTCTAAAATAATCCCGCTCTTTAATTTGATGCCCGGATCGTCAAACGCAAGGATCGATTTTAACCGCGGTAGCATAATTGCCAAAGTAACGATACTGCAATCGCAAACGGCGACAATCCATGTGTTCCGATTATTTTTGATCGAAACTGCGCTTTCGGATGCACGAGAATCACGTTTGGCTCCTGGGCAAATGAGGGCACTAGGCAGAGCACGCACTTGTAATACGCTTGGATTACACTTGTATTCCATGAACATCTTCTAAATTTTCTTGGTTTTTTCGGTAAAGTCACGTAGAAGGGAAGTAATAAAATAAAACATATTATTTTATTACTTCTCTTCTACGTGACTTTACCGAAAAAAACAAGAAGATGAATCCCTGCAGTCACGAAAGCTTTAAATCGATCTTTTAAATTATCAAGGTCTCTCCAATTGTTCAGGGTTTATATATACACAGCTGGACAAAATGATACTCGGTGTGTCTCAACACGTGCTTGGCCATGCGTGGTGAAAGCGGCAGATAACGTCTGCATTGTGTAATTCCATTAGCGAGGGTTACGTAACGTGTCCTCGTCGTGATGGATTTGAATCTGCTTTTTGAAGTCCCGTGGCAGATGCTTTATCGCGGGCTCAAGTCTCACGTGAAAAAAAACGCATCTATTTGGTTGCCGGAAAAAATAAAACCACAACGTCAATTCCTTCTTCAAGGTTGCAAATGCATTTAACCTGCTATATAGTGTACACAACAACAGATGGATGTGACGAGTATTAACAGATATTAAACAGCAAAACAAATTCTACAATAATATTGGCGCTAAGAGGAACAAAAAATATATAATAAGTGACGTTTCAGGCGATAGCCCTTATAAAAAGTGTTTCCTACCTACCAGTAGATCTACAGCTGAGTTATGAGATTGTATATTAGATTGTATACCATTTTTATTACACTTGTTTACCAAGGAAAGCCGCACCGCGGATTAGGTGGCATCCACACATTTCTTATCATGACCTCTGTTAAGCGCCTTTCATGCCGGGCTGATGCAGCAGTGTTCCTGCTCACAGCTGACCCAGCTGCCAATGTTACTTAACCCGCGCACGCTGGCATCGTTCGTTCAATGTGTTTGATGACAACGCACTGCTTTAGTAACAAAGTACGAGCGATCCTTGCGGCAAATGCAGTGACTAACTGTCGAAGCACTCCAACTCTTAGCTCTACGACCTAACCCTGAATTTAATGTATTGTCGTTCCTAGCTGGCATAATTAGCGTATATATTACAAAGTAAATAATGTCTCTTTCACATATTTACCTCTCTACGTTGTAAAAATGAGCATTCAACACAACCCATCGATCACATGATGCGCATGTTATTATTAGCAGCATTCATTCAATACAAGCAAACTCTGGGCCACTGTCGAAATTTTAGTTTATCAAGCAGTCAGGCCAATGTTGGTGAACTACCTGATGCATACAGTATAGACAAAGACCATATTACTGGTATAGGAAACTCCCGGTTACACCAGCCCACAGGGGATTACTGTGTCCGTCTGTCCGTCGTGCAGGGAGGGGCTGGGTGGGGAGGGAGGGGCTGGATGGGGAGGGGCTGGTCACCCCGTGGTTCCCTTATAAAACTCAACGTTTAGCCTACTTACGCCGGCTTGTGCCTGCCCTCAGTCGGGCATATTTGCGGAATACACCACGCCGCCGTTGACCCTGGCCATTGACCGAGCAACCCAACGTTCCTACCAGCTCCCTCCGCAGGAATGTGTTTCTATAGGAAATGGACCCGAGTTCGACACGAACTTAAATTTCCTTAGACGCGTGCTATATCGAAATGTGCAATATTCGATTGTCCGGCTTCCGAGGTGGTGAATGTTTTCGCGATGAAATTGTGATACCGGCTTTGTTGAGCTCGACTTGCAGAAAGACAAATAAATTAACCCGTAAAAACAAAGTTTTTCAATCTAAATCCTTTATATGCGTGGCGGCTAGAGTCCTCTCGTCCTCTGGTTTGAGATGGCTGCCACCTATGGGTCAGATGATTGTCTGCCAGCATTAAGCAATTGGTAATTAAATATTTTTAAAAAATCCCTAAAATAGTGTAAAATTTTGGGAAAAAAATTTCACGAAAATTAATTGTCACGCACAACGAGTCTGTGTGCAAAATATCAGCTCGATTGGATCACGGGAAGTGGGTTAAAAACGACCGAAAGATTTGCACGGTCTTAAGCAAGCAAGCACGCAAACACGCAAGCAAGCGAACTTAATATAAAGGATTTAAAAATGGCAGTAGATAGTGGAGTCCAAAGCTTAATTACATGAAAAGTATGGGAACGAGCACAATAATTAAATAGATTAGCAAAGATAGGTATTCCAGGATTAAGAAGCATAGTTGAACTATAGCTTGAGCAAACGTTTAAATCTATATTTCAGAAATAAATATACGTGTTTACCGTATCACAAACTGTGTGAAAAACTTGCAAGCCGAGAGTATACCAAATTAATCACATTGTTTATTTTTTTTTCACTTTTTTTACCACAAAATGACATTTAGACAGCATTGATAACGAGCAATAATTTAAATAACGAAGGTAACAGAATAAAATGAATATGGCTTTCTTTTTTGCGCCAAAAGTGCACCAATCTGTGGATGCAGGTATAATAAACAAAGCAGCCTCCGACTCACACGTCACACGGGGAGGGAGGAAGCACATCTCCCACACCATCCGCTCGTATCCTGCACAAAGGCACGCGCGATCATCTAAAACTTTCTCGTAATGCCGTGCGACATGTTCGGTTGAAAACACCGACCCACGCGTCATCACACCCACAGCAAGATTAATTGTTCAGAACTCGTGTTTTTTTCTCTCTCTCTCTGCATTTCTTCAGGTTACTAAGCAGTGCGCTCTGCCTCCGGAAATTCGCACGTCCAATCGTTACAGGGAATTAATAACAAAAGACTAAAACCCAGCAAAAATGATTTCAGCAGCTCGTTTATTACCGTCTCACACTTTCCAATTTTTTTTAAACATTAGGATGTAATAAATAACAATATTGAACTTTTTTTTTACACTGAAGTTTCGTTGCTGCATTAACCTGGGGGTTTCACTGATACACTGATTGTAGAACAGTCGACGAACACCTACAATGGATGTAGAAAAATCATCAGCACATTTATATAGGGTTCATGTGGTTTCTCTAAAGTTGCCCGTCTAATCAAGAGGTAAACCTACCAATGGATGCCTAATGCACTAATGGTTAGAGCTGGTTGTTTATGTTTAAAAAGCTCGGTGAACCACTTGTGCAAGGTATATTGACTCAAGCCGTGTCACCTAACACGCTAAAATGTAAGCACCGATAGTAAACCTAGATGCTTGTCAAATGCCACGTATCATCTCTCCTGCACTGTTTGAAAAGCAGGCAAAGTGAACCCCGCTGGGTTTTCCCCAGATTTAAATACTTAATGAAAAAAAACTTATCTCCGATTATTTCTAAAGCACATGGGGCAGTCCAAAAACGATAATAGGATTTTAAAAGTAGGCACTTGCTCCCACTAATTCATCTACTGTCAATAATGTATATATTGTGGCCTATGCTTAAATTATATAAAGAACAGATTTAAGTCATCCCGATCGCTACATTACAATTCAGCTAAGTGGTGTAGTGGTTAGAGAATAACAATAATTTGAATTTGTGAAGTCCATTTCATCCGTAGATCACAATGCGCCGTGTATGGAAAACAGGTAATAAAACAGAACCAGGGTAAACGGCTAAGACTAGGGGGTAAAGGTCAAATTAAAACGAGGTGTTTTTTTTACATATTTAAATAACTCTAATGGCTCTGCCTAATTACCAAAGTATCCATAGTCTGGGAGCAGCGCAAGCAAAAGGCCAATCACCGCTATCGGAACGTTACCAGAAGTCCCAGTTAGAAGTTAATTCAGCCGTTCATCCCCATGGGATTGTCAACACCGACTCGTTCAATTTAATCCCGGTTGTAGGAATGTGGAGTTACCACCATTAACTTAGGGCTGTAAACAGATTAGTGCCTCGTCATGCTTTCAGTGGGAAAAAAAAAGAATTGAACGTTTGATTAAAATGATCATCAAATAGTACTGGGTGATGAGATACTTATTAGAAATAGGACCGATGGGTGCTGGTGCAAGGTTGTGTAATCTCATTAAAAAAAAAACTGTAACTGTCCCTCCATCTGCACACCTTACGGACAGGAAGAATTCAACGTGAAACAGACGAGACGTAACATTGCCAACGACCCGCTGCCTGGGCCCCAAGTTGTTTCTTAACCGTAAGTAAAAGTCCCATTGTCCAGCAAATTTGCGAGTCGCAGCAAGGGCCTGTTATGAGTCCGATGCAAGGAGGGCAATAAACAAAGCCAGCCGGTTGAGACAGATGCAAACAGGGTGCAGTTTGGTCGTAGTAGGAAACGCACATAAGCACATAACCGGTAAACATTTGGTATTGTACAACGCCTGTCGTAACAACAAAGCACATGGTGGGTGCAAATAACAGGGGGTTAAAATTCATCTTGTAGTGACAACTTTCCATTCCTCAGTACTGATGCAAACTGGCTTAGCAGATATATTATTTTTGAGAAGGGTAGCAACACAACATGATCAACTGTTATAGACGTTCATTTTAACACAGGAATTTGCAACCAAGATTAAAATATCATGTTTTGTTTGTTTTCTGGGCACGTGTGATTGGGGTGTACAATTGTATAGATTACTATTCTTGGTTCTTTCTGTAAAGTCACGTAGAAGGGAAAAAAAAATATATAAAACAATAAAAATGCTCACGGCGTTTCGTGAGAATTTATATTGTTTTATATTTGTATTTTTATTTATTATTTCCCTTCTACGTGACTTTACCAAAAGAACCAATATGAATCCCTGCAGTCACGAAAGCTTTAAATCAAAATGTATAGATGAAGTTAAAATGTTGTTACAACAACATTTTTAAATGGGTGAATGGTGTAATAATTTGGTGCTCAATGTAATGCCATCACAGCAGCCACTAAACCTCCAAAAGATTCTGTCAGCAATCTGTCATTAGAAACTGTGTGGATTTACTGAAAGCTTAGCATGTATTACGTCCTGGCTTAGTGTACGTCTGTTGGTAAAAATTACACACACGAGTGCAACAAAAGCATGCATATTAGAACGTGCGAATTAAAACCATTTTGTACATCACTGTAGCATAATAAATGTTGCGTTTAACAATTAAAAACACCCATATAGTAACAACCTAGCATGAATTGTGAACAATTTTCAATGATTGAGATGCACGGAAATGTATAAACCATACATTACGCTCTAATAGTAACTGTAATTGATGTGAAATTATATTAGCCAAGTTGACCAAGGAATGCTTTGCAAGGCATGCATATGTAAAGGGATGGAGACTTATTCACTGCTGCAATGTATCATGTAATGTCACCAAACAAATGAGTAAAATACACCTTTTTACCGTCAAATGCACTTAAGGGCCCATTCATTGCTGCCGACTTGACGCAAGTGTTCAAAGCAACATCCCTGAACATTCAGTAATCGATAGGCCATTTACAACATAAACTTCACCTTGCAGCAAACTCATTCAGCGTTTCAAATTGATGAATTAAAATGCTAGGGAAACCGTTTCTGGCGTGTAATATATCTTGCCAATTAAGGTATTTTGCTATGCTCAATGGGCATCTAATTTTTTTTTTTACCAAGGACCCACTACAGATCACGCAGTAGGAGTGGCATGTGCTGTTTTGACATAAGAGTGGCTTTTAGTTTCTTAAATATAGGTGCACTGTAATCATTTAGAGCTATTGAACAAGGTCATTATCGCTCTAAGTGCTCAGAATGTTATGCAAAACGATGAGAATTTGCCTCGTTTTGAATTTTAGAAATCAGCCATTTAAAATCTGAATTACATTTTCTATTTTGAGTGCTTAAAATGACCAATTTCATCTTCTGTTTACTGCCCAATCTCACCTGCTATACCCATATATTGCACCAGAATGCGTCGCAGGATAAACACGCTTCTGCTGGTCGTAAGTGCAAACGGCGTGTGCTACTTGCGAGGCATTTAGGGTAGTGGCCCGACAATTAAAGGTGTATTTACACTGCCCAAAGCATATTTGGGATTTGCTTTGTCATGTTACCTGCCCTAAGACTGCATAAAGAAAATGCAGCTCTTAGCCATTGGCAGTGCACCTATACAAGTGAAACCAGTTTGATGAATGTAGATGCACCATTTGCACCGTTCAGTGCCAGCCAAAAGCCCAGTCCATCGACAGTTTAACTTTCAAAATCCACATACTGACCAAAAGTAATTCCACTAATATTACATTGCATGTGTTATTTAACATTGCCTATTATTGCCATGTAAAGCAGACGTCAAATCTTTCACGACTGTGAATCCCCCCTGTACTTGTTTCGCAGAATGTTAAGTGGAACACACAACCTGGTGAATGTATTTGAATTTAGAGATTGTGACAAAGATTTAATAAATATTTCACGGTATATCAGAATTGTGGTACCAATCTCCAATTTTCAAATAGTAATGTTATACCCTTGCATGTGTGCCAGAGTAGGTACCCCGTGTACCAAAGATTGGTCCAACAACCAAATGACAGAAATTGAGATGATGCTCTGTGCATGGCTTAGGAATTAAACTGCCATACACTGAGAGATGTGGGCCAAACTCTAAAAAGCAGTTGCAAATCACTGCTCAATGTGAACAGGACCAATGTGACATAGGACCAATGTGAAACAGGACCAACGTAAATATGCTGTCCAGACCAAAAATGCTGCGTTTAGAGTGGATTCCAGCCACCCGTGTGCCATGCAGTCAAGGAAATATATCTACATTTTCTGAAATCGCCAATGAAAAAAAAATGCACCCGACCACAAAAACAATCCCTGTGGGCGACATGCTGCTCTAACATGAATAAAATTGTGTTTTTCTTTTAAAGAAGTTTATTCAAAAATCTAACTGAAAAAGTAATTGCATAGATCCCTTTCAAATGTTAGTGGAAAGTTAACCTAGTGAATATCATTAGGTCACTCGTCATGCTGTTTGGACATTCAATTCAAAGGGAAATTCAAACTAGGCTTTACTTTTCACCTGGAATGATTAAGGGAAGGTGTTACTCTTTTTATTTGCATGTCCCTTTAATTCACCGACACATTCGCTCACTCACATCATCGACCCACACAGCCAGAACATTCGAGTGCAGCGCAAACATTTGTCACCGCCACGATGTACTCGCATAAAATGATGACAACATAAAAAATAAAGTTACACCATAAACTCAACGATGGTCCATTTCAAGTCCAGTGATGTGGTGGGCATCACCTTATTCATATAGTTTTTCAAACCAATGCCAGGTAGTTTAACATTCAGAGGAAACTGCAGCAGTATGCTAAAACAGCGCCACAATCATGGCTACATTCACCCATCAGTTCTCCTCTTAAACAAGCGGAAGCAGCCAGCTTTGGTCATTTTCAGAAGGCCAATCCCACCACGCACAAATCACTGGTCAGTTTATATTCCTTTATTACTTAAGTTACTATGTTTCACAGTGTTCAAGTGGCACTCAAACAGTTGTGCCTTGCGTTTGTTTTGACCGAAAGGTGTCACCCCGCCCTGTAGCAGCCACCACCCCTTGTACTGTGGATTCACGATGGATGCTGTAAAGCCCTTCCGAGCCCTTCCAGCTGCCCCCTCACCAACCGCATCACCCCCTTATCGCCGCCCCCACCTCCCAGATTCCACGCTTCTCGCACCCCCCCCCCCCCCCCCACGTAAATGCCTTGCAGTGGTGTTAAATGGCTTGCTTGAGAACCGGGAAACCTGTGAACACAAGGGACACTGTTAATTCAGTGGAACTCATTTGCGAGTAAAATTAGAGAAACCTAAAATGAGGTTTGGAAGCTTCCGTGTGTAAGTGTAGGTCACTGTGTGCTAGCGCAAACAGCCAGATGTGATTGAACATGGCCAAGAATTACCATCGAAGGCTTTCTTGCAAATGTGCTGCATGCAACTCAGAATCGTGAGAATTTTATTGTTTAATTTGTATTATTTTATTATTTCCCTTCTACGTGACTTTACCGAAAGAACCAAGAATATGGAAAGTTTATTTTTAATTTACTCATCAGCAATACCTCCAGTTTACACTGTAGAATTGTTACCATTTCAAAACGGCGGTTACAGTAAGCACTTTGTTTTATCCTTCTGGAGTGCACCGAAATGCCTCTTCGAGATGTATGCTGAGCAACACAGTGATATGCTTGCTATCATTAATTATTTCGGTGTGTCTGCCAACAAAGAGCGCATTTTTGACAGCTGATGGAGGGGGACGCACAGATAACTTGTTTAAAAGCCAGTTCTTCATGAATACATTCCCTGCGGCTCTTGAAGTGCCGACAAAGATTTTCAAATTTCAAGGGCACCATATTGTGTTAGGACCTGTACAATTTGTGCCCAGAGTGCTCTTGCGAGTCCCTAATATATGGACTGTGGGTTCAAGCAGTGCTGTCTATTTCAGCAGGTAAATCATGTTGGGTGCAGTTCTGAGCGATGACATTAAGCAGGGCGTCTCTTCTAACCAAATGCCAGCCTTGTTATGAATCACTGCGCTCACCTGCAGGGAAATAATAATGAGCTGTCGTGATCGATTTGTCAAGAGAAAATAAACTGTTTGTGACTGCTGAATTGTTATATTTAAGCTGGTATTGTCGATTCACCAATGTAGTATCTAAAAATGTTAATTACAAACGGTACAAAACTGTAAACGATCTCATCCCAGGCAAAGGAACTTAAGAATAATTATTGGAAACAATATTGTAAAAGAAATGCACCAACCATTGCAGTATCGGCATTTCAGTCTTAGACAAGTCAATGACAAGCCCTGGAAATTGAGTAAAGTCTTAGTCACTGTTGTCATTAAATGCTATTAACATAAAGATAATAATAAGAGCAATGACGAAAGATAAAAAATTAAATCCGCAAAAAAACTTGACAAAAGTTTCACACATTGTCAGACTAGACTAAGACTGAAAGTACTAAAATGCTGACTAAATTGTCACTGCACCATTGTTCCCCCAACAGCCAGCTTTACAAATGATTCATGATCATTCGTCCGAATGCGAGTAATATACTGGCCTCATTACAAGCGGCCCAGTATTTTCACTCTCAAGCTGGCAATGTAATTTGACAACACGGCACTTTTCAAAGCGCTGGTACTATATAGTGCTGCGGTAAAGCTTGCATAAGCCTTACAATGCCGTGCAGTCTACCGAAAATAAGTTGTCTTGTAATACTCTGTGCCACGGTTGCGTTGGCACTCAATGAGATTTTTTTTTATGTCCGCGTGCATTCAATAGGCTGCCTTCGTTTTTGTTTTGTTTAAAAGATCACTCTGATTGAAAGGGACACGCATTAATCTTCATCCCAGCGTGCCGTCAAACAATATTTCGAGGGCAACAACATTTTCATAATGCAGACAGGATATTCTCACTTTGTAAGTGAATTTTTAAATAATAATAATAATCTTTGTAGAGTACAGGATATTAACATGAATAATTGACATTTGAAGATTTTTTTAAACAAAAATTCGACATGCTGGTACTGGTGGGTAAATGTTCAACCCCAAGAACAACTGAATTAACATTTTATTGCTCGACTGCTTAAGTAAGCAATGCACATTCAGATTGTCAGATTGTCTGTGATAAAACGAGCAGCGAGGGATCCTGTGTGTTCAAATCCATCTCCATGCGGGGAAACAATCTTCAAGTGGGGAAACCTATTACAATAAATCAACATCAACATCAACTGTGCACATGGATCCAATTTCTCAATGCCTGCTGTAAATGTCTAGGCATGGCTGAACACTGCTCATCTGAATTGAATTTGCAACCAACGCTGGTTGGACAGAAGACATGTCAACTTGCAGGCTCCCAATAGAGAACAGAGACCCAAGATCTACCATTAGACAGGGCTGAGTGTGATTAGCCATGGAAAAATACGAATTTCTACAAGTGGTCTCTGAACATGCAGTGGAATAATTCTCCACCTAACTAGTGGGCAGGTAGAGCAAACATACCGCAGTTAGTCACGTATGAATATGCAACCGGCAATCCCAATGAAATAGTGACAACCTAGTTTTAGCACTGTATAGTACATGTGTGTATATGAACACAGCCACAGTGGTGATGCAGTGCACTGTGTTAAAATCTTGGCTACATTGTTTCAACTACCGGCCATGCAAATTTTTACTTGCCATTAACTTCCCCGTTGTCAAATCAGCCTTACAATGTGTACTGGGTGCAATGTATAAAAGATTAGCAAACTGTGGAAAAAGCAGCCATGCTGGCCAAACCATTTCGATCTTAGCAGACACTTGTGAACTGTCTCTAGGACTTAATAGGCTAAACAGGAGACCTGTGTCTTCCCAAGGGTGTGCATAGGACTCAATCTGGAGACTTGACATGCCACAATGAAACTGCCAGACACATGAGCCATTAAAATTTCCTACCCTGAGGACAGCTTGCATTCTGACTTGTTTGTATTAAGTCCCTGCTGGTGTTCATCTTCTTGGTTCTTTCGGTAAAGTCACGTAGAAGGGAAATAATAAAATAATAAAAATAAAACATAATAAAATAATTCTCACGACGTTTCGGCCACAACGCAAGCAGCCGTCCTCAGGTGAAGAACAGGTCTGTCGGAAAGACAGCGTCTTTTTATTATGTTTTATTTTAATTATTTTATTATTTTCCTTCTACGTAACTTTACCGAAAGAACGAAGAAGAAGAATCCCTGCAGTCACGAAAGCTTTAAATCGAAATTCCCTGCTGGTGGTGAACTCACATTATCAAAGGATGCTTTCTTGGCTGGGCTTGAGGAGAATGAAGCCAGGAGGTAGTAGGTACACACTAAGGGCAGGTGCAGAGGCTGGGGAGGCAGCAGAATGGGCGTCAAGGGGTGTCAGCGGTGGAGATGGCAGGCAGAGCGGTGCGGACGTCACACGGCGCAGGCCACAGCCTCGCGCACGCGAGCCTCCAGCGTGACCGAGTCGGGCCGCTCCTGTGGATGCGGCGACAGCATCTCGCGCACCAGCACCGCCATCGCCGTGCTCATGGGGCTGTGGCGGCGCCGTGGGATGTGCAGCTCCGTACGCGGGTTCTCAAGCAGCGCCTCGCCCACCGGCACGATGCGCCGGCCCTGTGCGGCACGCACACGTGCACGTTAATGGAAAAGTGCGAGCAAGAGGCAGATTGCTGGGATCAATCTGTCACGATGCCGACTGCTGATCTTTAAAGCTTTGCATGATTGAGCCTGGTTGATACCCAGATGCCAGACTGCCCAGGAATGCCAGAATATTGCAAGTTTTGGCTTGAGATGGCATCGCAGCCATGGATTCTTTTATATATCTATGCAAAGCTATGAATGTTACCCACTCGTATACTTGGGTTTTCTCTGGGTCCACCCAAGGACCAAACACTCCACCAGGGTATTGGTTATATATAATACAGACTCTGATAAAAAAAAGTTAAGGACATTATTATTCTGCTAAGATGAGGCCATTACGGCCAATGACATTGAAAACACCACATATTCCCATAGCTTTCCTCCTTCTGCTGGATTGCTAAGCTATTGTAGTTCCCGTCCCGGTAATCTGCTCTCCTTATTTCCTGCACGTACCCACCCATCACAACAGTCTCTTCTTGATATCATCCAAAATCTATTCGTTCTATTCTAAACTCACCCTTTCCCTATCTTACAATCCTCACATCATTTGCATACACATACATTCAAAGGAAAGAAACCCATTTCTATTTTACATAGCAATATATTTGCAGCAGTAGATACATTTGCAAGAGTCGATCGCGTATCAGTGGCTAATGCTTGCCAATGACACAAGAGCAAAGCAGCAAAGGTTTAATTTTTAAAGCTGCTCAGTCATTTGTGTGGGGAATTAGCTGAGCATGTTATATTAAATCAATCTTGAGATTCCTGTGATTTAATAACATTTTATTGTATGAACAGTGGTGCAATGAAGCTAACATTATTCCCAGGGGACTGTTTTTTTTCAGCCCCATTAGATGGGGAAAAAACCCATAACTAGGCCAGGACATAACTATTACATAACACACACTTGGATGAAGGGCAATTAGGATGATACTGCTTTGCAGGAAAACGGAAAGTGTCTTGCAGCCTTATAAAAGCAAATATAACCACAATGCATTATGTAGCTAATTTTCTTTTGTTAAAATGTGCCTTTATGAAAATATAAAAAGCAGTAAAGTAGCATGAGAACTAAATAGTGGCTTCACCCTTTCGTCAGCTTTCAGACGACAGGAGGCGACACTTAAAAATAAATGTCATAATTAAAATTACACTTTTTTTATATAAAGCACCAAGAACAGTGATTCTCAAAACATAAGGTCACACCCCCTGAAAGACATGTCGCAGGCTGTGGCATCAATACCGTGCAGGTGAAGTTTAGAATGTGCTCAATAACTTGGTATACGTGGTACGAAAATGCGTTGTTATTAAACGTGCTCCATCTTAAGTTTACTGGAATGAATAACATTTAAGAATGCACACAGCAATGTTAGTATTCCCATGTGGATCTATTAATTGTAAAAGAGAAAAAGTATATTATGAATAGCAAATGTTGAGTGTGGGAACATGTGCCACTCATAAACTGGCATGTACTTTGGCCAAAAGAAAAACTAATTTAACGTAACACACGTTTTCTTAATTTTATTCAAGTAATGAAAGAAATACTTATGGGTTTCATTTCCACTAGTTTCCAATAGTAGTGCCAATCACAAATACAGCAGAATAAAATTTCAAATACATTTTCACCAAATGTCAATAGTATTTATTACATATTCAGTTTATTTCGAGTGGCATATTCAGTAGTGCAAGGGTTTATAACATAAAGCTCCCAAAAGCATTTACGATGTTGGCTTTTGATTAAGAAGCCTACATGTTAAATTGATTAAGATTGTTGCTGAAAACACATGCAATACTCATGGCATGCAATGGTATTATTATGGTGCTGCAATGCAAGAAGAGAAGATACACACACTTCAAAGATATCAACATTCCGTCAAAATCAATGATGCCAGCATAGTGTTTTCACATGGGAGGACTGTCATCAGTTTTTTTGGTTACGTTTTGGAATGGTGGTTATGATTGTGGGTTACAATTATTAAATTAACAAACGGTGTTTGAATCTATAATGATTTTGTTGTACCTGCCATGAAATTAGTATTTGGGGATCAAGAGAGATTTTATACATTTCACAAATGCCCACAAATTTGCACTACTATAATTTGTTTTCAGAATTGTTGGTTTACAGCAGGACACAGAGTTAAGGAAGATGCCCTGCCAAGACGTACCTTCATCAATACCAATTAAAATACATAACCTGCATTATTGTGTTTGCAGGAAAGGCAGTGCATGTGACTCATTTTACAAATTGGTTCCTGAATTTATTTTAACATTACATGATACCGAGGAATCATTAGACACGGAAGAAAAAGTGAACCCTTCCACTGTGACAATTATTTTCCAAAACATTCACTTCAGACATTTTAAGCAACTTTAAATACATACTTTACATTTATGTATAACTTAATTACGTGAGCTAGAACATCATGGGTTATTATGTCCCACTGGCTAACAAATACTATATTTGGATTTGGCATCCAATCTTGCAATGCTCTTGGCGAGGAGTTTGTAAAGAGTTGGGAGGTAATTAAGCGAAAAACACAACGTGGCTTTCTTATCATTCAAGAATGTGGCCAACGCAAGCTTTTGTAATAGGAGGCCCATAGGTGCCACAAGACCAACTTTCATTTGGCAGCAGCCAGTCTTCCACACGTGTGCACGCAAATTCACAGTTCGGCAGCACATAGCATTCTTGCACTGTGCCTCACCAATACAATGAAGCTAAACTTTACTGACTATTTTTTTTAGCACGGCCCCATTCACTTGGCTCTATGACAGTCAAGTGAGGTACAGTTAGAAATAAATAAATATAAAACAAATCATGACGTTTCGATTGCAACACAAGCAATCATCAGGTGGGAAAACCACAGCAAGAATTTATTTTTGCTTAAGTGGGAGAGAGCTGACCATTTTTATAACACTGTGGGCTCGCATGATATTGTTTTTTCCGAGACAAAGATACTCTGCAAACCTTCTGGCTACTATCAAAGGTTTGTTCATGAAGCAATCCAGATATATAAACATAGACTTAACTTAAAACGAGAAGATGTATACAAATTGAGCAATTATTGGAAGCATGTTATTAACCAGGTAAAACCTAAACTGCTTTATGGTTGTCTATCATATCTGCCGGGTACTAGTCAATTTTTTTAATCCTTTATATTAAGTTCGCTTGCTTGCTTGCGTGCTTGCTTGCTTACGACCGTGCAAATCTTTCGGTCGTTTTTTAACCCACTTCCCGTGATCCAATCGAGCTGACATTTTCCACACAGACTCGTTGTGCCAGACAATTAATGTTCGTGAAAAAAAAGTTCCCAAAATTTTACACTTTTTAGGCAAAAAAATGTATTTTACATATATTCAAATAGAACTCATTCATGGCTTTGGCTGAACGTCACAGTGTAAGAGCCCAGAGCGTAACCCCTCCACAGGCCGTGGCAGAGTAGCGCAGTTGGTAGCGCCCTCGCTTCCCATTCCAAAGGTCGCAGGATCGATCCCCGCGTCCTCCACAGGCAAATATATTTTTAAATCCTTTATATTAAGTTCGCTTGCTTGCTTACGACCGTGCAAACCTTTCGGTCGTTTTTTAACCCACTTCCCGTGATCCAATCGAGCTGACATTTTCCACACAGACTCGTTGTGTGTGACAATAAATTTTCGTGAAAAAAAAATTCCAAAATTTTACACTGTTTAGGGAAAACACATTAAATATTTAATTACCAATTGCTTAATGGTGGCAGACAATCATCTGACCCATAGGTGGCAGCCATCTCAAGCCAGAGGACGAGAGGACTCAAGCCGCCACACATATAAAGGATTTATAGTGAAAAACTTTGTTTTTACTGGTTATACTTATTCAGAGTTAATTCCCCCCCGCATCCCCAGCTCTCTCGGCCTCCCACTTCCAGCCCTACCCACTTCCCCCCCCAGCCTCACGTCCCCTCTCCTAGCACTCACGCAGCGGTACCCTTCCTCTACCCCACCTCTCTCTCTCTCTCCCCCCTTGCCCCCCCTTCTTAAATATATAACCTCTTGCCACGACAGCTCTCTCTCCCACTTAAGCAAAAAGTTAGTTTTCTTGCTGTGGTTTTCCCACCTGATGATGATTGCTTGTGTTGCATTTGAAACTCCGTGATATGTTTTATTTTAATTATTTCTCACTACGTGACTTTACCGAAAGAACCAAAGAGTATGGATACCTGCAGTCACGAAAGCTTCAAATCAAGATTATGCAAGTTGATTACCTACATTTAACTTAAGTGTTGCAGACCACAACAAAAACCAACACGGAAACACACAATAAAGCAAGTATAATTAATCCACCATTTAACTTGAGATTCATAATGACACAAGTGGCGTCCCTTGAATAAACATAACCCCAGCCTGGATGCGACCCCTGCTATGTGAAAGCGTGAGGTGTGCGTGGCGTGTACCTGGCGCACGTAGGAGCCCAACAGCTTGCGCTTGGACTCGGCATCGGTGAAGGTGATGCGTTCCAGCATGGCCCACACGATGATGCCCAGCGCAAAGATATCGGCCTTGGCAGTGAAGTGACCCTCCCACACCTCGGGTGCCATGTAGAAGGAAGAGCCGCATGCAGGAGACAGCCATGGGCGATTCACCGACTCGCCATTGCTCGGGCCCTGCGCAGTGCCCACAAACACCCACTCTTTTTAGTGGAATGAGGCCTAATAGAGGGAAGCCAGGTGGCTCACGCTGCTGTGTCAGAGCTTCGAGCCGAGTATGGATTGTTACATTCATGACAATATGTATGGAATCACACGTATACAAATTTATTGCTTTTGATTTTCATTACGTGAATGCTCGGAAAAAGCAGTAAAAACAAGAGTGGGAATACAAACAACGGACAAAACTAGGCCATAGAAACCAGACAGGACAAACACAAAATAATATTTTGTGACCCACAAATCATTATGTATTCACCCATTTGCAAGGGTGGGGGATTGTTATATGCCTACTGGTCTACCTCTGATTACATCAGGATTGTGGCATGTCACGTTGTTTTAGAGGCTTTCACAGAGCAGTTACACACAGCGTTATAAAAAAAAATAACATGACTAGAATATATGTATGGGGAAGACCCAGGAATACTCCAGATATCACTCGACATTGACGTTAACCATGGCCCTGAATTGAACCACAGGCTGCCAGGTTTATATTGGAGTGTTGCCAAGTGCTGCACCCATCAGATATACTATACCTATACAGTTTATACACTTGAACAAATTGGCTCTGGAATCTGTTGCGTCATAAGCTGCATAAGTCGATCACAATTAATAGGTAAACATTCGCAAAAGTGCGGGCACCTGCAAATGAGATTGAAACCTAATTCCAAACACTGCACTTTGATCAGCTGCTATCAGCAACAATCCATTCCCAAGGAAGAAACAATTGGACCCCTGTATGTGCCAGCCAAGGGGACACATCAGCTATCTACAAATAAAGTGTGCGGACAAAGCAGTTGGTGTTGACCCATAGACTCCACTGTACACTTACCTGACAAACCATAATCAGTGCATGAGCAATAACCAAAAACCCACACTTTAAAGCAATGGCACAAGTAACAATAGACAGTTGCTGTAAAGAAATAGAGGTGCCATCCACAAACTTGTCACTTTTGCTCTGGGGTAATGGTGGCTATTGTTGATGTTGTTGATTTACGATTAAAGTAAGCCTCCGTGTGTTCTTGTAAAGCAAGCTTTAAGCGTGTCATGTTACCAATAAGCAAGAGAAGTTCCAGTTCGTGGAAATTTGAGAATTCCAGCAAAGAGACCTCCGAAAGTGAAGTTTTGCCATTGTATTAACAAGACTGCCAAATCAGAAATGAAAAATTATCGTAATATATTGGAATATTTGTTTGCCATCTTTTTTCGTTTATATATGACATTTGCATCATTATTGCCAATTTAATAAGGCGTCTGGTTTGGAGGAGAACGCTTTCCACATGTTGCCCCCTTTCGAGTCTCGACAACAGACGCTGTTCTGGGCTCTGTGACAGATCCCGAGGACCTGGCATAAAAATGCTGGCCCGCAACCAACACTGACTGGCATTGGCCCCGCTGCTCTGTCGGGTCTCACACCTGTTTTTAGTTTATTCCCAATGGGGCACACTAATTTATCCCCTACAATTATATTCGACACGGCCGTGCTTAAAGGCCTAATGTGCTCCCATGATGAGCTTTACACGATGGCTGTTAGCCAAGTCTGACACCTAGAATTACCACAGTGGACCTTAATACCCTGTAGCATTATTTGCCAAAGCCACTGCATTGTCCAAAATCTAAATGTTTAAAATAATTTTCAAATGTAATGTAAAAAAAGCGTTGTTGTTAATATCAAGTCATTAATATCTCTATTGTGACCAAACACCAAAAAGGGCACTGAACATTTATGAAATAAATACAAATCGGAGGGCACAAATAACTGTATCAAGGGATGGAATGGAACATGCCGTGCCCTGACAAGAGCCAACCCTTACCTATGCGAGTCAGATAAAATTCAATCATTAAGTTCATTGCACTGACACTGACAACGTGCTGCCAAAATGCAATGACCTGCCTTTGGCAGGGGATTTCCAGTGATGGGACACATCTTGCGATTATGAGTGCATTTGTCCAAAGACACAAACACGCCATGGCGAGTAAACAACACAAGTGATCGCACATTGCATGACGTAAGAATACAAAATATTTCCCCACACTCACCTGTCCTTGGCCAGCGAATATCTTGCTTAGACCAAAGTCAGCCACCTTAAGCACAGGCCGGCCGGAGTTCTCAGCCACCAGGATGTTGTCGGGCTTGAGGTCTCGGTGCACGATGCTGTTGCGGTGCAGAAAGGCGACAGCGCGGCTGAGCTGCATTGCAAAGCTTGTGTTGAGCCAGTGGTCGGGCTGGCGCGACAGCAGATAGCCATTCATATCACCACCGTCACAGTACTCCATTACCAGCCACAGGTAGTAGGAGTTGCCCGGACCGAAGCAGCGCTCACCTGTGTGGCGACACAGAGAAGGAGAGGAAAACGAAATACAGTTAGCGATGCTACTGGCGTGCAAACATGAACTCAAACAGCAGCAGCAGCAGCAGCTACTGCAGTTCACAACTAATGAGATGACCTGTGCCACACCTGGTTCACGGAGGCCATATAGAGGTGAAGGGTCATTGGCAGGGAGTTACAAAACACATCTAACATGCAGTGCAAGTGCACAAGGCGATATAGATAGAGATCATATACACACGACCACTTGCACAGTCACAAGCATATGGACCATGTCACACAACACGCACACTAGCATATGGACTAACTACTTCATATTCCTTAACCTGAGCATAGTGTAGAGGACTGACCTTGTGAATCACAGATAAATGTGTACCCTTCCCCTTTGCAACCAGACTGTTATACAGCGGTGTAAAATGGCGATTTTTTTTGTGCGACTGCCATGGTTGTACCAACTTTTTATTTAACAAAGAGCATTGCTATACTTATGCCAATGGGTGTTTAACAAAGGGTGAATATCACAAAGTAAAATTCAAGGGGTAGATGTTTAGTCTTCATCAGATATGCAGATGCAAACAGCAACAGATGCATTTCACTACCTCTGCCATGTTAAATATTATACATGGGAAAGTGATGAATGCGGATTTCAAGTGCAAATACTAACAAGGGCAGTGAGAGGCCAATGCTGCCATGATCCTCTCAAGAGAATAAATAAGCCTGGCCATCTGCTTTATTGCTGCACGTGGGCCCTCATGGGAACCTTTGTTCATGTGTGGCTGCACTGACATCATTCCACCAAGTCCAGTTGTGGTGCAATTGCACTAGCATTTGCCTACCCATGCAGTTTACATGCTGTTATAATCTTGTGATTTTATTACCTCCAAATGTCACAGTACAGCATTATCTTATGGGTACCTATTTAAATGGGTCAAAATGTAGGTTGTTGCCATCAAAGATAAATGAACAAATTGTGTACTATGCAAATAGAAAATTAATAAAAGGTATTTATGAACAGATTTATGAACACATTGACATAGTATTTCGTGTAGACTAAATTACTTAAGCTTGAAAAACTTCTCAAAGTTGTGTAAAGAGACTAATACTGCATTTTGCCTCCATATCTGTATACTTTCAGAAATAACATTGTTTAAAAAATGTGTGATTACCTCACTTATATATCCGTGAATAAATGGGGCTAAGAATAGTTATGATGCAGAAAAAGCCTTTTCATTTCATTTGTGTAGCAAGGTAAAATAGTTGTGGACTGAGAATCAGGATGTACTGCAATGTCATCACATTAATCTCCATGTATATAAAAGGCAAAGTTGTGAATATGTGTGTCTGTTCAAAATGTTTAGCGTACTTCCCGACATGCAACAAACTTGAAATTTGCCATGTGGGTACTTTCCAGACTGTAGACCATGCAAACATTATAAAAATACACCTTTTTTGGGGGGGGAGCTCAATAATGCATATATTTTTAGCACGGCAATTGAGCTGTGACGTCAAATCTGTCACGTGACCCGCGCATGTGGAAGCGTAACGCATTGTAGTGTAGCGGTTAGCGCGCTGTGCTACGAACCCGGTGACCCCAGTTCGATTCCCGCTCACGGCCACCACCGGTGACGATTATTTGAACCGGTCCTGGGCCTCCCCTAGGTCGACTCAGCCTCAAACGAGTAACTGGTGTGGTGTGTGAACATCGCCACTGGGGAGACAAAGGCGGCCGGGCGTGGCGAATCCACGTCCCGGGCGAAGCCGGGTAGTAAAGCTAGTACCCAATAAATGGAATGTTCGTTAGGATTTAAATTGCCCAACTGCAGCTTGTTTACAGTTTGCAAGGGGATGTCTCCTTCAAAGAATGACACCTTCAGCATGTTGGTAAAGTAATAAAACAGTTAAAATAAGTTTAACAAAAAGTTAAAAAGTTCAAATAAACAGTAAAACAAGCACAAACACTTGCTTTGACGAAGCAGTGTCATATAAATATACATCATTTATTCTGTATTTAGTTTTGGCAATTTTGGGAAAAACCTCCACCGAATCAAAGTGGTATGCTGTTGCCTTAACATCGCTATCTTTTAAGACCTTCACAGCCATTGTAGCCTGCTTCATGGGAAATACAAGTGTTCCATTTACAGCTCCGATTACTCCATACAATGTCATCACATGCCAATGTGTAGAATTTCAACAACACACCTGGGCTTAAGTAAACATATATGATGTAACTTTAGTAGTATTGTGACTGCACCTTTGACTTTGAGGAGATATGGAATTGTATATGAGCAGAATTAAACAAACCACTATTTGTCTGCTAGGTTGATGCCTCACCTTGCTGCTTTTAAACACTGGGCAAAGCCAGGTTCTCTTTTTGGGGGCCCTTAATGGAGTATCTGCAAACACTCAAAAGTGTGCAATCATGATACATTCGTTTGTTGATGTGTCCCAGGGGTTGTTCTAATAAAAGCCTATTTATGCGACGTATCATACATGTCTGAATAACCCTGGTTTTGCTAGGTGATCTGATGAAGTTGTTCTTTGTGCTCATTCTTTCAACCAGCTGTCATTGCCCACCACCGTCTTCGTATATAAAGCAGCAAATACCTGGCACTCGTTATAAATATAAAACACGTTTTTACAATGAAATGGCTATGTAAAAATTGGGCATTTATGTTAATTCACTATTAAACCCTTGCCGAGACACGCATATTTATACATCGTGGTTACCAACTATCTTAAACGCCCGGTAAAGTTTACAGCACATGTTAAAAGTATGTTTTCCCAACAGTGGAGATTAGGAGAGATTTCCCAGATTGTCTCCCTGTAGAAGCATTAAATCATCCCCTGTACTCTGTCAGCTTAAGCCACCATGTGAGGCTAGTAATATTCTGAGTACAGTATATCTGCTTATACAACATGCCGTATCCTGCCCTACAGAGCTTCCTTATGAAAGGTTGTTAAATAACAACAAAATGGAATGCAGGGGGGCAATGGCAGTTTTTTGTAACAGAGAGCACCACATCTAAAGTAACGTCCTTGCGAGAATGCACATGCAGGGGTAACACAATAAAGCCATAAAAGCACACGAAAGCATATACAAGGCCAGATGTACATCGTTGTAATAAAAACAATACACATAATTATGCAAATATAGGAAACAAACCCAAGACACCCACACGCGGATCAACAAGACCAAAAAAACGACTTCAAGAAACGTCCAGAGAAACAGGTAACAAATACACAAAATGCTCTCAATAGAAGCCTTAGGCCTCCCCAGTATCTCACTACCAATGCACATACACACACTCCTATTGCCATTGGAAATTGCATTGGACATTGTAATGTGCGGAAATGATACTGTGCAGAGCACTAGTGTTTATGCTCGGACACTGTACAGTAATGCACTGTATTAACCCCCTATTACATTGCAGCGCGGTGCCTTATTGCGAATTGGTTTGAATATTGTGAATGGTATACAGAAAAAGCACTGTTTACAATATCGCAGAGACCACCTCCCCCTCACATTACACCCCATGCAAACACACCTCAAACACGTCAACACCGTGTGCTCACCATACCACACATCCTCACATCAAGCAGACAACGTACGTCAAGCCAGGCACACGCCGTACAAACACACGCTCCACGATACATGCAAAGTATCATGAACACCCTCAGCACGGACACTATACATTATCCCCACATTATACACCACCCACACACGCACCTAGTACGTTACGTAGCGCAAACCTGACGCATAGACAAAGCCCACAATGAACTCCCTGCACAAACCCACACGTTTGTTGAACTTTGTTCGCACCCTACGCAGCCGACCGTGCAAAATCGGAGGTGCAGAGGAAGGGAAACTGAACATAAAATGCAGAAATTAGTTTCCATTAAACATTGCAAAAAATGCTCATAACATGCACACCAACCCCAAGCCCTGCCCACAAGACCAAGCTTTCCCGACAATGCACAGCACACACCTCAAACACAGGTCGCACAAACTCCTTACAGCCACTAAGTGGCGGTGACGTCACCACGACGCTTGTGCCAGGCTATGTGCACCTTGAGGCCACGTGAAGTGTCGAACGCCCGCTGGCAGGTCACGGGGCAGACCCAGATGCCACGGGTCGACTGACCGAGATGACCGAGATGACTGGCTGATGCACCACCTGTTCCCCCTACTGTGCCAACTTGCTGTGCTTTAGACACCCGGCGCTCCGCTCGTTGTTGTGAGCGTCGCTCCTCCGCCCTCCGTTGTGCACACACACATCCCCCTCTCTCTCTCACACCCACACACAACCTCGAATGAACTCTCTCCACGAGTCTCAGGTAAACACACTTTACTTGCCTTAGTTGCCAGTCTCAAATACCAGTGTCTGACAACACGGCTCTCACCATCTCCCTCAACCTATGATCACTGCTTCATTGCTTTATTTTGGTGATTTCGAAAAGTTTGTTGGTTTGGCCATGTTTGTTTGTTGTAGTACGGAGTTAGACTGATGGCCTTAATCTAAGTTGGCTTGTGGTTGTTGTTTGACTTGCATCCCACTGGGATTTGTGCACACAGCGTTGGTGTACGGTGATTTTTCTGCAATATTTTGCTGTCTTTTCTTGGATTTTCTGTTTGCACTTAGTCACATATTCACTGTAAGATGTTTTCTTGTCCATGTTTTTTGTTTGTTGCGGTTGCACCCACCCGATTCAAGAGCCGAATGGCTCACAGGGCTATACCTAATAAATGAACTTGAACCTTCAAGGTGGCTTAGCCTCGAGCCCAAAGTGTACTTCATGACAAAAACAAATACCCCGTGTCCCCTCCCCCTGTATCGCCTCAACATAATGTTGGGGGCAAATAATGTTAGCAAATAGCAACTTTGGCCAGCATTACGCCCGGCCGCCTTTGTCTCTCTGGGGTTTCGGACGAGCAACACAACACAAACTAGCCCCCGCGTCTCCCTCTCTCCCCACTGCATTCCTCCCTCTTGAGAGCAGTCTCCACGAGTCTCAGGTAAACAAGAGCCGCCATCTGCCACCAAGTTGGAGTCAACGTTACCACGGCCCTTGTGTGCCAGGCTAGGTGCACCTTGGCCACGTTCAGTGTTAAGCGCCCGCTGGGTAGGTCAAGGGACAAGACCCAGGTGTTATGGACGAGTCAGCTGAAATGACCCCCAGAGATCACAACCCCTTGTACTCTTGTCGAGATATTTACACACACATACACCCTGTCAATCATCCTTGAGGGATGTGTCTGTACGAGTCTGAGATACACTCACACCTGTTTTTACTTTCTCTCTCCACACACACTCCCCTCTATCTACTGTATCTCCTTATCCCTTGAGGGACGTCTCCACGAACCTCAGGTACACGAACACACATTTATCCTCATAAACACACACACCCCTGTCCTTCACTATTAATAAGAAGTCTCCAGGAGGCTTAGGTAAACAAACCTCTCCTCACCTCACCTCATACAGCAGCCGCCGCTTGCAACCAAGTGACGGTGACATCACCACAACATTCGTGCCAGGCTAGGTGCACTTTGAAGCCACAATAAGTGCTTACACAAGGCAGGCAAGGTCACGGACTGACCCAGATGCCACAGGATGCCCGAGATGACTTACAAGCACCACCACCACTAGCGCTCCCTACATCACACAACTTTGCCGCGTCCTCACAACACAAACACCAGTGCCCCTCACCCTTGAGGGACGTCTCCACGAGCCTCAGGTACACGAACACACATGTATCCTCACACACACCAACATCCCTGTCCTTCACTATGAATAAGAGGTCTCCAGGAGGCTCAGGTAAACAAACCTCTCCTCACCTCACCTCTCACAGCAGCCGACGTTTGCAACCAAGTGGCGGTGACATCACCACAACTTTCGTGCCAGGCTAGGTGCACTTTGAAGCCACAATAAGTGCTTATACAAAGCAGAGCAAGGTCAAGGGACAGACCCAGCTGCCACAGGATACCCGAGATGACTTACAAGCACCACCACCACTCGCGCCCCATACATCACACAACTTTGCCGCGTCCTCACAACACAAACACACAAACACCACTGCCCCTCACCCTTGAGGGACGTCTCCACGAGCCTCAGGTACACGAACACACATTTATCCTCACACACACCAACACCCATGTCCTTCACTATGAATAAGATGTCTCCAGGATGTCTCCAGGAGGCTCAGGTAAACAAACCTCTCCTCTCACAGCAGCCGACGTTTGCAACCAAGAGGCGGTGACACCACAACATTCGTGCCAGGCTAGGTGCACTTTGAAGCTACACAAGGCAGACAAGGCCACGGGACAGACCCACTTGCCACAGGATACCCGAGATAACTTACAAGCACCACCACCACTCGCGCCCCATACACCGCACAACTTTGCCGCGTCCTCACAACACAAACACACACAAACACCACCGTCCCCTCACCCTTGAGGGACGTCTCCACGAGCCTCAGGTACGCCTCTCCGCGCTCGTAGTCGTCCCTGGCCATGCGAGCAGCGCGCCCGTTGTGCTGCAGCACGCACTCGTCGAAGCGCACCACGTTGTGGTGTCCCCGCGGCGGTCGCACGCTCTTCAGCGCCCACAGCTCCTGTAGGCCGAGCTCCACACTCTCGGGGCTGCAACAGCGGATCCTCTTGACTGCCCTGCGAGCACCAGTGCCCCGTACCACAGCCTCGTACACCACGCCGAAGCTGCCTCGGCCCAGCTCCCTCAGCAGCTCGTACTTGGGCTCGGCGGCCATGGCGTTCTCTTCCTGACTGGCTGCCTTCCACACTTGCTTATCTCGCTCTCTTTCTCTACACCCGCCTCGTCCGTGCTCCCCTACTCCGCTGTGACAATGGCCTGGTGTTACTGTGCACGCTGTCTCGTCGTTAACGCCGTTGTTGTTGTTGTTGTAGCTACGACGGTGCTAGCGCCGGCCGCTGCAGTCACGCTCGCCACCATCATCGTCTCCCCACCGTTCTTGCTGTTTGCAGTTCAAAATGGTGCCTTATTTGCATACGCTTGGTATTCACGAGGGTGGGGGGCGTGGCTTAGCCCGCCTCATTAATTATTCATGAGGGGGCGGGGCTTCGAAGCGGCTTTGCAACGCCGTTAATGCTGCTGCAGGGGGCGTGGCTTAGCCCGCCTCATTAATTATTCATGAGGAGGCGGGGCTTGGAGGCGGCTTTGCAACGCCGTTAATGCTGCCGCAGGGGGGCGTAGCTTGTTAGCCGCTCATTAATTATTCATGAGGGGGCGGGGCTTCGAGGCGGCTTTGCAACGCCGTTAATGCTGCTGCTGCAGGGGGCGTGGCTTAGCCTGCCTGATTAATTATTCATGAGGAGGCGGGGCTTCGGCTGTGTTTATGAAACTCGAGTTTTTTCAGTTATATTTATTTGGTATAGCAACCGCAACAAAGAAAAAAACATGAAGAAGAAAACATCGTCAAATGATTATGTGACTAAGTGCAAACAGAAAATTAGAAGAAAAGACAGCAAAATATTGCAGAAAAAGCACCGTGCACCAACGCTGTGTGCAAAAATCCCAGTGGGATGCAAGTCAAACAACAACAACCACAAGACAACTTCGATTAAAGCCATCAGTCTAACTCTGTACTACAACAAACAAACATGGCCAAACCAATTTTTTTTTCGAAATCACCAAAATAAAGCCATAAAAGCAATGTCACAGTGATCATAGGAACTGTGACCGAATTTTCACAATAAACGACATAAACAACATGTACTACCAACAAACACCCTGTAGCCATACCTGGCTGCATGAGTCACTCCACAACAGCAGGAGCATCAGTCGGAGTATAAAAAAATTTCAATGCACATTTTCAATGGTTTTGATGGTGAAGTTGAGGTTTTTGGGTTAGATCGGAGATTTATTCGTATTTACGCGATCTAACACAAAAAAAAATCTATTATGGATTATATTGGTGGCGATAACCTGTGTTAAACCGAAGTTGGTTATGTTTTGAATGCACAGCTGTCAACACGTACGGTTTAATGCCCGTATTCTTGTATGGGGACATTGAATTTTCAGGTCCATACGGTGTACAGCCGTTTCAATACGGGCACAACATTTTTATTTGTCTAATTTTTGTGTTTCTCCCATGTGATGGGACATTGTAGGATGAACGTTGAGATGTATAAGGGCACGGGGTGACCAATAAGGTCTGAATTGGTCTGTTAATAAGGTAGGGACACTGATAAAGGGTTTACAGGCATGTGAATCTACATCATGGGACCTCCTTTGCCAGTACCAAAGCATGAGAATAAGTTTTTCCACTTTTATCTGGCAACAAAACAGGTGTTAAGATGTTAAAACACCAAACTGAAACCTTTTACAAGGAATCATGTCTGCATTAACCACAATACTTGTGGTCAAAACGCAAACAAAAAAAACATACTCTGATAATATATGCATTTTCTTGGTTCTTTCGGTAAAATCACGTAGAAGGGAAATAATAAAAGAATAAAGATAAAACATAATAAAATACAATTCTCACGACGTTTCGGCTACAACGCAAGCAGCCGTCCTCAGGTGAAGAACAGGTCTGTTGGTAAAGTAACGTAGAAGGGAAATAATAAAATAAAAAAAATAAAACATAATAAAATACAATTCTCACGACGTTGTCTTTCCGACAGACCTGTTCTTCACCTGAGGACGGCTGCTTGCGTTTTGGCCGAAACGTCGTGAGAATTGTATTTTATTATGTTTTATTATTTTTATTTTATTATTTCCCTTCTACGTGACTTTACCGAAAGAACCAAGAAGATGAATCCCTGCAGCCACGAAAGCTTTAAATCGAAATATATGTATTGTCTTTGAAACTGATTGGTCCACACCGCGTTCTGACCACAATTGTGGTTAATGCAGACATGATTCCTTGTAAAAGGTTTCAGTTTGCTGTTTTAACATCTTAACACCTGCTTTGTTGCCAGATAAATGGGGGGAAAAACGTATTCTCAGGCATGTGAATGTCAAGATGAGACGCACTGGTTGGTTTACGTCTGGATCACAAGTGCATCGAATCGCGTGTGTTAGAGCAGATTGTTGATGTGTTTTTATTTACTGGTTCATTTGGCAGTCCACCACTATTAATTGGTTAAATCAAGCCTCACTCTCGCTGCTGATGAAACACTGAATATCGAAACCTGCCGAGAACGTTGCTTGCATTGAAACCAATGATGCTGACATGATGCACTCCCACGCAGAAGACAGTAAAAAAAACTTTATTATTTTATGTGGATAGATAGATAGATATGGAGATGGCGTAACTACTTCATTATTTAATTACGTAATAGCAGACCTTGTTTGCAAACCATGTATTATTCATGAGAACACAGATGAGCAGACAATGCCTTCTTTATCTGGCGTTTCAAATGAAAACAAAATATCTTACACAACCACGGGCCAATAGGTTGCATAATAAGTTCAGCAGCATTGGGCTAAACGCAAGATAACTCTTCATCAGTCTTGACTTTCATGCTGTTGCTTGAAACGAATGATTTTCAAGCCTGCACTATTATTTAGTATTATTCCTGAATTATGGGATTTCTGACTGAGTGTCTTATCAGCAAGACACCTGCCTCATCATTCATTGCGCGAATTGAATTACAGTTTCTATGATTACTGTTGTTACATTGTTTTTTTAGCTTTATTTTGGTGATTTCGAAAACATATGGTTAAGTCCGGAGTTGGCCTGATAACTTTGATCTAAATTGTCTTATGGTTGTTATTGCTTGACTTGCATCACACTGGGATTTTTTCACACAGCATTGTAATACGGTGTTTTCTCCTGGAAGATTTGCTGATTTATCCAGGATGTCTCTGTTGCGTGTCGTCGCTTTAAGATGTTCTCCGTTCATATTTTGTTTGTTGCACCCGACTCAAAAGCCGCATGGCTCACAGGGATATACCTAATTAATGAAATTTGAAACTTGAATGCTGGCGAACTGACCGATGTTATGATAGCGAATGACCCTCGATTTAATAAATGGGTCCCACAGTCGTAGTCAAAACGATATGAAATAGAAATTACAAAATAACCATCAGAAAATGTGTATTTGTGTGAGTCATGTATTATCCTGCAGTGATGAACTAACGTTATCCACAACACTGAGTAAATCCACGTGTTTTGTTTGTAAATTTGAGCATTCAAATTGTAAATGTTGATCATATACTTTCCAACACACCAGTTAGTGCTGTACGAGTAACGAATTGGCGACGTTGATTTATTTTCATTTATTTTTATTTTATTATTTAGTATTTTTTACCTACGTGACTTTACCGAAAAAACCTAAGAGTATGAATCACGAAAGCTTCAAATCTAGAATTGGCCACATTCTGTTTACGTGACAAACCTTACTAATTGCGGGTTTAATAACGACACATTTATATTTACGGGATCTAACCACAACCCCCCTCTCTCTATTATGGCTAATATTGGTCGCGAAAGCCTAACTTACGTACTCTTATTTTTTTTCGGTAAAGTCACGTAGGTAAAAAAATGAAATTAAAATTAAAAGAAATAAAACAGTAATAAAATAATAAAATTAAAAATAGTAAAAATTAATAAAAAAAGAAAACAATAATAAAATAATTAAAACATATTAAATAATAAAACAATTAAAAATACACGACGTTTTGAAACGTCGTGATTTCTATTACTGTATTTTTTATTATTTTTATTTGATTATTATTTTATTAATTTTAATTTCATTTTTTTTTACCTACGTGACTTTACCGAAAAAACTAAGAGTATGAATCCTTGCAGTCACGAAAGCTTCAAATCTAGGACCTATCTTCTTGGTTCTTTCGGTAAAGTCACGTAGAAGGGAAGTAATAAAATAATAAAAATAAAACATAATAAAACAATTCTCACGACGTTTCGGCCACAACGCAAGCAGCCGTCCTCAGGTGAAAACCAGGTCCGTCGAGGCGACAGAGTCTGAATGAAACAGCACACGGGCTTGGAGCATATATGTGTGCTGTTTCATTCAGACTCTGTCGCCTCGACGGACCTGGTTTTCACCTGAGGACGGCTGCTTGCGTTGTGGCCGAAACGTCGTGAGAATTGTTTTATTATGTTTTATTTTTATTATTTTATTACTTCCCTTCTACGTGACTTTACCGAAAGAACCAAGAAGATGAATCCCTGCAGTCACGAAAGCTTTAAATCGAAATCTAGGACCTAACTTACGTGTTTACACGGACTAACCTTGTTAATTATTATCAGTAACAAAGTGGACCCGAGTTTTATGACTACGCGCGCATGGCCAGTTTAAATGATGCTTTCAATAATCACATGGCAGTGGGAGGAGCCAGCTGACGAGGCTAATTAATTATTCATGAGGGGGGCGGGGCGTTGCGAACGCCCCGCCCCCCTCATGAATAATTAATTCCCCTCCCCGCCAAAGTTTTTCTCAATGGGGCGGTTAAAAACTCAGGCCGGCTTTGCCAAATCACTTTTGTTGTTGTTTTTTGGCCGAGCGCGATTTAGATTGTACTAATCGCAAAGTGAGCTCGATGAAGCATCTTAAAAGTGTTACGTTTTAGTCGTTTAACAACAAAAAATACATCGCAAGGCGTAAAAAAATGGGCCATTTGCGTGAGGGGAAATGCGCGGGAAAACGTTCAGCCAATCACGTGGCGGCAAAGTCGGACTGTGACCACCAGCACACTGATTACAATATTAATTACTTAAAGGGCGATAATGTATAAAAATTAGCAACCCACCCCCCTACCATTCCCGATTTGCGTGTAATTAATTCACAATTGTAATTACATCAATTGGTCAATGCCTGCTTGATGCGACGTTTCTGATTCGGTTCCCATTCAACGGATGAAGAAGTCGTCACGTGACAGGTCATCCGTGGCCACGGCGGTCACGTGACGAGTCATTCGGCCCATTCATAAAAAAGCCACGTGACCCCGTGCGCGCTATTTATATTTACTAAGATTTGATTTAGTTATTTTATACT